GGCCCCCATGGCGGCGGCGGCACAGCCTGTCCTGCCCTGCCTGTGGGGGAAAAAAGTCCGTCGATAGCCCATACCCTGGTATAGCCTGCACCCATCCATGTTTTTTGTAAAATTGCGCATACCCCGTGGGATATAGGCGCAAAAATACGGTAGTTGCTAGGTCTTAATGATGGACTATTGAGGTGGAAGTAGTGAGGGACAGTGGGCTAGGTCAGGGGTATCAAATTCATCAGGCTGGATGAGGAGTGTGGGACTGGTCTGCAGGCCACATAGGGCCCAAAGGCCAGCCCCATGTTGGGCCAACAGGCTGAGGTTTGAACCATAGGAAAATTGCCAAATGTTGTGAACATGAGCCAGTTATTAAAAGGGTTCATGCAAACAAGGAAGCCTGATATGTGGGAATCTTGTAGCCTGTCCCCTATCTTTTGCTTTGTTGAAGAGAAACAGTGCGTTTAGGAACCGTGTGAAATCTATCTGTGTATTTCTGTCTTTTTACATCTATCACATGGTCCCTGAATAGCTTAATTTTGAGTCCTGGAAGAGGGGGTGTGTAAGCTGTGTATGCTGTGGGGAAGTCGGAGGAATCTTCCAGGGGGACAAGGAGTTGGAGCACAGGTTTCTGCTTTCAGGAGGGGATGCTTGGTTAGAGGCTCTTCACTATGAAAACAATGTCTAGAACAGTGATTCTTGACCTTGAGATCTTTTCAAGGGTGCTGCAGGGTGCATTAGCACTTGTAGGTGTGAAAATGTGATTCACAAGAGAAAAAAAAACACCCTTTTAAAAAGGGTTTAAAACTTGTTTAATTTGCATGGTTTTGTTCACAGATCCAATGAGATATTTAATGGATTTTAGTTGGCTTTTTAGGGCGCCTATATATGAGTGCGAAGGCTGCTCTGAAATGCTGGAATACCAATGCATTGGAGCAGACTCGATTAAGTCTACTAGTGTGTGGCAATTGCAGTGCTCTAGCAGCCTCCTGCATCTTGTGTATCAGCAGTTTCCACACTTAAAAATGGTGGCAGAGGCACTTGAACTAAAGCTGGTCGAATGCCCCTGCTGTCATTTTAAAGCGTAGCGACGCTGATACAGGAGATGCAGCAGTTCTCTCAGAGCCACTGTAGAACACCTTCCTCCCTCCCACTGCCAGAGCCCATGTAAAAGTGCCTTTAAAAATCAGTTACTTAAACTATGTTATACCCAAAACATAATGGATGCTTTCTGAATGGGAAAACATCTTTTTGATACTCCAAACAAATGTAACTTAGTTGTTTATGATTGTACTACTTCTAAACAGCCTGATGTTTTTGGTATTTTCTTTCATGGTGAGCAAGAAAGCTGTTTTGGTTACCATGCCTAAAACCACTTAGATGCAAGTAGATTAATCTAATCTGTTTACATTTTTATAAACTATGTTGAATCTTTCTGCTTTCCTGAAAATTAAGAGCAACTGGAATTTAGAGGGAGGGTTTTTTTTTAAATGAAGCAGGGACTCTCAATAGTAAAATTAGTTTCTTAAGGTTCACTCTTCATTAGGAGTATCTATAAGGTGCATCATCTAAACACTTGCATGAAGATTAATGCATGCATAACCTATTTCATTTTCAGGTATGTCTGAACGTGGCAATGAACTCACCACACTTGATGACTCTCAACCAGCTGCAGAAGAGGTCCAGTCTGACTCTGAGGTGATTGGGTGATATTTGTATAACTTTGTAAAATCAACCAATCCCAGTAACAGTTTCAGACTGCCATAAATGCTTGATATATAGAGCATAATAAAATTATTTTGGCAGTATATATTCATGTGCAAATCAGATTTATTTTTGGCTTTCTTACATTTGTGTGTTTAGTTTCAGATTGCTTTGATTATACTTTAAACAAATGATGTCACTTAGGACCACTTCAGCCAACTGTCTTGCTGATGCAGTGTTACTAGATTTGTAATAGCTAAATAGATATAAGCAGGGGAGCTAAAAGTAAATGCATGTGCTACAAGAAGAGAGAGATTGCATATGGTTCTGGATAAAAACTTTAGTATTGTTCAGGGTGAAAAAGCAATATAGGATGTTGAAGGACAAAAATACTATTTACTTTATTTGTATCAAAGAAATAACTTGTGGTAAAGCTTTCTCTCAACAGTGGAACAAAAAAAATTCACTGTTTAGTTTATACCATCCAGGTTATCTTTTTAATAGGGGTGCACTGATAAAGATTTTTTAGGCTGATACCAATGGCTGATTATTGACCAGCCACATCGGCCTGTACTTATCCGATAGTGGATATGTAGCCCAGCAGCTTGGAGAGAAGCATCCAGCTAGTAGGTCTGTTCAGGGGAGAAAGGGACATGTGGGACGGATGGGGTGTGGGGGGTACAGATCGAAGCCTCCAAGGTGAGGGAGGGAGTGGGGCTGGGACGGGCAGGTGCTGCACAGCCGGGGTAGAGTGGGACATGGAACAGAACTGCAGCCTGCTCGTCTGAAGGATGCAGGCGGGTGGGGTGGCTCCCACTGCTGTGCACACCCCAGGGGAGCCATGGGGGGCACCTTTCCCCCAGATCTGTGCATGGGGCAAAGACGGCTGCTGCTGTTGGGGGCAGTGGGCTGCACCAGCCCCTTCCCAGTGGAGAGGCTGGGCTGTGGCTGCGCTTGGGTGGGGGGCTGTGGTGGAGGCTACAGCCACCCCAAAATTCATCATAGACCCCTGCCCAGTGCTGCCACCACCTGCCCTGAGTGCAGCCCAGGGGAAGAGGCTGGGGCAGCCCCAGCCCTGAGCACACAGTGGGAAGCCCGCCCTCACCCTGTGCACAAATCTGAGGGGCATGTGCCCACCATGCCTCCCCCGGGGTATGTGCAGAGGCAGCAGTTGACCCCTCTCCCCCCTCCCCTGTGCTCTTTGGACAAGCTGCCTGTGGCTTCATCCCACGCACTGTTCCACCCCATCCCGACTGTGCAGCCCCAGCCCCATTCCCTTCTTCACTGTGGGAGCCTTGATCTGCCCCCATGCCCCTTCTCCCCCATAAACTTACTGGCCAGACGTTTCTCTCCAAGCTGTTGGGCTGCTGTGCATGCTGCAGCTGCACTCCTGTGCATTTTTTGGTGACACTTTTGGCCACACCAGCCAAAAGATGCCGATTGCCAATAATGTTAGTTTTCCTTTTATCGGTGCTGATACGATATGGACCAGTGTATCAGTGTACCTCTCCTTTTTAATATGCAGGTCCATTTATACTTATTGTTTTTGAAAATTTTTAAGAGCATTTATGTTGCACATCCCACTCCCATCACAAACCTTTCCCTGGAGCTGATGTGAAAAAGTGATGTCCTGAAGAAAATTGTCTTTGTGGAACAGTGTGGCCTAACTTTTAAAAATGGGCACTCAGGTGTTATAGCTTGTACTTTTTTTTTTCTTTCTATTTGTTAAAATAGAAAGTCTAATATTCTAATTCTCAGAAACCTATTTCACCCTTCAAGGACGGTGAAGAAAAGTTAGGAAAGATTAGTACAGTCATCTTATTTGTGTGGATAAGCCTTTGACCACATTGAGTGGAAGTATCTTTCTAAAACTGTGATACAGATAAGATGTAAATTATTTTGAGTTGGTGTCCAGGTGTGTGTTGAGACAAAGACAAAAATAAAACGTACTCACTAGATTCAGACCTGTTTTCTCCAGCAGAACCTGCGTAGGCATCTCGTTTCACACAGACTATTCACCTCTACCCTAATGAAAACAGGTACCCTACAATAGGAATTAAGACAGTGGTTCTCAACCTTTTTAGACTTAAGGCACCCCTCGGAAAATGTAAGTTCTTAGTTTTAATTTGTTTTCTGGCGGCAGAAAAATAATTGAGCAATTCTGTTGCAAAGAATTCGGAAGCACCACAACAGGTCAGAATATTTTTGACGCTTATGGATTCCTACATAAAATCTCCGGGTTTATTATGTAACTTATGTGTGCACATCTAAAAGTGCTAACATAGCATGGCCTCCACTCCACCCTTGAAAGGATCTCAAGGCACCCTGATTGGGAATCATTGGATTAACATCTGGAATATGTGACAGACAGTAGGCTTATTCATAGATGATTCCTGCATTTCCATAGTTCTTGAGAATCTTTCCTAACATGCCAGTTGTTTCAGGCAGAGACAGATATTCATGGTTTCACTGCTGGTACCAGCCATGGTTTTACCTTTCATTTTATGTAGTAGACTTATAGCTGTTAAACCATGTGCTTGCCACAATCAGTGAGGACTGTATTCAGATGTTTTAAATGGGAAAAATCTGTTCCTTAATGCAGAGGTTTTCTTGGCCTTTCTGGTAAACCACGAAAATTGACCTTTTGGGGGTAAGCTGCCTCAATATGACTGATATCCAGGTCGTAGCCATATTGATCTAGAGGCAAAAGGAATCAGAACTCATGGTAGAAGCGATATCTTTTATTAGATATATTTTTGCAAACATCTGGTTGGTCTAATAAAAGATATTGCCTCTACCATGAGTTTTGATTCCTTCGATATGATTATGGAATTTATTTCCCCTATCACAAATAGAATTTGATTCAATCTAGGAAGAAAGGATCAGCCAGTTATCAGGTTGATATTGTATAAGCTAAATTGTTCTTGCAAGATAGATAGGTCCTTTTCTTTCCTTTTCGGTGCACAGAACACTGCAAAGGACAAGTGTATCAGTAGACCTGTGGGCATCACTTAAAAACTAACAGTCTCTGAGAGTAAGGCACATGAAAATAAAGAGTTACCCTTCTTTCTCATTGGCTAGGGACAGACATTTAAGTAATCAGAAACTGGTTTAAACCTGTAACAGAACAGATGTTCAGTGCACATAAACCAAGTTTCAACCTGGTTGAATGTAGTATCAGACTTAACTGATTTGGCTCAAAATGGTTTATGCAATGTCTGCCCAGACCCCTTGTTGGTTTAAGATAAACCAGATACCCGCAGCATCCCAGCATGCTCTCTGGGCTGGGAGGGACTGGCCCCACCCCCTCTGCTTCCTGGCTGCAGCTCCAGCAGAGACTTGCAGGGTCTGCCTGGCTTCCCCCTGCCCTACCTCCCCTCTCTGCTCACTGCTGAAGCAGGAAATCCCTCCAGCTCCCTCCCATGTCCCACAGCAGGGACCCCAGCCCCATGGACCATAGGCATGTGGTATGCTAGCTAATGCTGAGAAGTGTCTGTGTGCATCTCCAATTTCGTTGGGAAGGCAGACAGAACAGTGACTGCTTAGGGCTGTTTGGAGTAATCAGGTCAGCTGGTAAGTTATTTAAGAGTTTGAAGTAATGGAGAGAGGCTATTGTTTTGCTGATGAGGTGATGAACACTGTTATCCAGCCCCCTTCTGGCTTACTTGCCTTTCAGTTTGCTGCAGATAGTATAAAGAAGCAGGGAGGGAGATTGAAAAGCTCTGTATCATCATCAGATGTATGCACTGCACACTCCCCCTTGCCTCAGAGTGCTAGCAGGGGAGGGGTCTGGCAACACTCCTGCCCTTTGAGCAGCCAGCGGGGAAAAGCCTGGGATGGTGCAGGCAGCCCTCCCTAATCAGAGGTCCTGCCAGGGCCTGGACATGCTCCCCTCAGCCCAGTACTGTGCAAGGGAAGGGAGGGCTGTTCTAGTGCCCTCCTGGCTTCTAGCCTGAACCAGTGCAGGCATGTGCCTGAATTTCTCTCAGTCCAGAGAGAATGTCTGTCCGGTTACAAACCAGTTCAGCCAGCCAGGTTAGACTAACCTGCAAAGATTGAATCAATTCACATTCAGGCTTTTTGAATGTCTGTCACTAGCCTTTAAGACTAAAGCATTTCCTCCTAAACTTTTTGGAGGGGCTGCTCCTCTATAATGTAACCTGACAAGGTGCAATTAAGTATGTTCAGCACCTCTCTGGTACAGACCATTTGAGAGTGAAAAAATTGTAAAATGATGTGGTGTGCTGATGGCTTTTCTAACTGGATGAGAACTCACATCCAGTTTTATACTTTTCTGTCAGCACAGAGACTTATGAAATAACAGAAACTTCAGGAAATTCTGTTGGAATTGAAACCATCTTTTGTTTTGCTTTAAGAAGATTTCTGTTTCTGTTATTGTGGAAAACAGAACTTC